AGGTCTGCCGCGCCATGTGGTCACCTCCGGGGCAGGCGGGGATCGAACTCATGCGGAAGTGGCTTAAGCTTCTTAGTGCTGTGCTTTAACCCGCTGCGCCACCAGGGAGAGCGTCAAGTGTGACTTCTTAGTGGGGCCTTCCCTGTCTTATTTAAAATTTCAACACCCACAAGACCACCCACCCACTCACTCCTGGCATTCCCCGAATCCCTTCCTTCTTTACTTTTCTCCATGACACCTCTCCACCTACATTTAACTATTTACCTTCTTTATGGCCTGACTGATGGCACTAGACAGTAAGCTCCAGAAGAACAGGGGTTTGCCTATCTGCTTCTGCTGAATCCCTAGTGTCCCAAGTGGTCCCTCGCTCCTAGCAGACAAAGAGCACGCGTTTGTAGGATAAATGACTTCCAGTGGGATGCTGTCTGCTCTGTCTGTGCTACCTCTTCGTGACATTCTGCGGAACTGTTGTCTTCATCGTGTCTGTGTTTTGTCCATGGAACTCGTAGAAGTAATGGTGAACCCAGAGGACTCCTCGGCACCTCTCAGTTGACCATTCTGCTGTCCGTTCACAAACTGGATTTTCATTTCTTTGCGTATAAAATGGAAAAGTCACCTTTTTTGTTTAACTTCCCGGTGCACTTTAGTTGTCATGCTCTCTCAGTGGTTCAAGGGGAGACTTGCATGAGACAGACACACATGTCAGCTCCTCACAAGCCAAGGGCTGTGGTAAATGAAAAACACATTTTGTTCCCCGGAGGCCTGGCTGGTCTGTCCACCTGTGCCCTTCCCCTCCTTAGCCAGGGACCTGGTGAGCATGGAAAGCCCTCCTCTCCCTTCCCTGCTGAAATTCTTGCCTTGTCTCCAGGGCAGCCAGAGAGCCAGGCTCTGAGCGCTGCATGTTTGTTCTCTCCCTTATGTCTTACCGGTCCAAAATAAACGACTGAATGGAGTCATGGAAAGGGCTTGAACTCAGGTGCCATTTTTGTCTCCAGGTAATTTTTTTTTTCTTGATTGCTCATTAATGTAGCATTTCCCAGAAGGTACTTATTTTCCCTCTCATCTGCTCAAACAAGCAGAACGCTGTTTTCGGAAAGAAAAAGGTATTATCAAGCATTCCTCTGTCTCTCCCCCACCGCCCCCAAGGAGTGAAACACTATCATATGTCCCCTGAGATTTTCGTTGTATAGTTTAAACAAGTCCAGATGGTTTTCTCAAATTCAGTCATCATACTTAGTAAAGTATTTGTAGTTATCCACTGAAACAAATTCTGGACTCACTTCCAGACACCCACTTCCCAAATAACTTATTCAGTGCTCTTCTGCCTTGTTTGTGCTGTGGTCTTTCTGTGCTAATGAATTTGTAACTGTGGTTTAATTACTGTTTATCGAAAAATAGCTGTACACAGATCGGTCTCAGTGGGAGACATCGCCAAAATGTTGAGGCAACTTGTTTCCTGTGCAAAAACAGCTAATAAATGAGAAACACTTTTTAAACATTGGGAAAGGAACTTAAGTTTGGTTTTGAAGAAAGAGCACTTTAAAGGTCCAGGTAAATAAATCATTCTTTGAGTAGATTTAAATATCAAAATAGCATTTTTGCTCCCTCAAGGCCAGGCACAAGGTGACTCGCACAGAACTGAAGTGCAGTAACGGTGATTTGATCAAATACCACACCGGAGAGTTATGCTCTGTGGACTGCCCAAAAGGAAAACTCAAAATTACTTGCCAGTTCCATAAAATGTTTCAGAGCTCTGTAAATCCATGTATAATATATTACCTCATCTTTCTGAATTCTCACCTCAGGCATATTGCCAACTAGCAACCGAGTGACAGTTTTAAAATTTTAACACAAACCAGCCTCTCTAACTTTGCTTTTATTTTTCCCTGGAGGAAAAAAAAAGTGGTGCACAAGGAAAGTGAAAGTTAATGAAATGTTCAATTTATGAATTTTTCTGGGCTTGGAGTTGTAGTTTAATTTGGCTCCTGCAGAAAAGGGTGTTGGCCTGGTTGCACAGAAAGGGAGACCTCTGAAAAGAAGCTCCTTCCTGACCATCTGCAAGGGAGGGAGAGCCTCCTCCCAACCCTTAAGGGGTGCCTTCGAGGAGTGAGAAGGGGGAGAGGATTTGGCTTCTGCCTCCAGTGCAGAGCTCAGAATAGAAAATCAATAATGCACAGGGATTGCAGTTTGCTTCGAGCTGTGGAGATTAGGAAGGAAGCCTGAGTGGTGTGAGGTACAAATGCTCCCCTCCTAGCAATTTATTCCTTCTGGGCACAAGAGACAGCTGTGCAGCAATCCCTTAGAATAGCTCCCTCCCAGAGAAGGGGAGAAGGTGAGGAAGTTGGGTGGAAAGAGTCAAAACTTCCTACTTCAAGTCAAAATTTAGTTCTAGGGCTGTGATGTACAGCATGGTGACTTCAATAGTGTGTGCTTGAAAGTTGCCAAGAGTAGGTTTTTTAAGTGTTTTTTATTTATGCATATAAGAACTGGGGTGTATGGGGGTGAGAGGATTCACCAGAAACAGAATGGGAGCAGAACAGGCAGATCTACTGAAACACACTGCGGACGGGAGCAGTGAGTGAAAAAGGAAAGGTCAGCTGCGCCATGTCACTTCCCTGACCAGAGATGTGTGGCAGTGCCTGCTAGCAATAGCTTGACAGCACTGAGACTTTAACCCTGGCACGCCCAGGAAGGCTCAAGAGAGCAGGTCTTAAATATTTTCATTATAAGAAAAATGTTAATTTTGTGAAGTGAGGTTAACTAAACTTACAGTGCTAATGATTTTATATGATGCCTATACAGGGCCATTAAGATGTACATCTTAAACATTTATCATGTCATCTGCCTATTACATTGCAATAAAATTGAAATAGAAACAGAGAGAGCTTCTAAGATCAAGTCTTAAATAGCAATCTGAAGGCCAGAGCTTCATCTCTGTGGCAAAAAAGTCTCCTTTTCCAAGGTTACTTCATATTCACATGCTGTAATAACTTATATATCAGACACTCCTTCATTCAGTGAATCACCAAATGTTGTTTTTCTATCTAGATCTAAAAAGACAAAGTAACCGCAGAGTGGAGTCTCTGTTCTAAAGGGCTGACCATGTGATGGGAGGGAGACAAATATAAACAAACACACACTATGATATGTCAAACCCCAGAGGAAATTGGAAAACATGATTTAAATGGAGATGTGTTATCTCTCATATTCTATCATTTTCCAAGCCTAAGAATTTTTTTCCAACATAGGAGAAATACAAAATAGAAGTGCAGAGTCCCTTTATGAGAAGGGATTTATTTGAACTTGCATAAATCATAAAACTTTGGAAATAAGAACTGAGGTCAGATACCACCTCCTCCAGGAAGGCTTCCCTGATAACATCCATGTTCCCACTTGGGTGTCTTCTATGTACTATTACAGTAAAACAGCCATCCCTAAACTCTTCTTGTATTGTCCTCTCACTGCCACAACCACTCCCGTGCCTACTCATCTCTTTACAAAGAAGGGCCACACCTTACTCTTTGCAGTTTCAGTACCAGGAACCTATCTGATATAGGGCTACTGATGAATGTTGAATGGCTGTATGAATGGTGAGAGGGTAATTACAAGTATGTCTTCATCTGGTAAAAGTTGCCTTTATTCCCCACATTATATTAAGTCTTAAAATAAGTAACAAAAGACTGTTATTTTGATGTAAATATATTAAAAAATAGTATTAGCATATTTAGATAAATATGCATGCAAGAAATTTGGAAGGACATATATCAAAATACTTGCAGTGGTTAGTATTGCCACAAGTTAAATTTAAAAAGATGTTGACTTTTTCCTTTTGTCTTACTGTGCTGTTTTGCCATTTTACTATAGATGTGTGCTACTGGTATGCTAAGTAAATTTTAAGTAAGTTATATATATGTATATAAACTATTAAAGATTTATTTTTTATTTATGCATGTAAGAACTGGAACACAGGCCAGAGGTGTCAGGGTGGGGGGGTTGGGGTGGAGTGAGAGAATTCACCAGAGACAGTGGAGAACAGAACAGGCAGATCTACTGAAATACACTGCTGAGGGGAGCAGCAGGCGGGTCAGGAGAGGTCTGCCGCACCATGTGGGTCACTTCTCGGGCTGGGAATCAAACTCATGCTGCAAGTGGCTGTGGACAGCTTTGTGGTGCTGTGCTTCAACCCACTGTGCCACCAGGGAGAGATCCTAAATTATATTTGAAAAAAGGAAAGTTTGTCCTATTCCATAATATACATTATGAGGCATAAATAACTTTATAATGCATTGTCTTTATCATCTAAACCCACTGTTGTGATTTCACTTTGGGAACTTAAATAACCGACTTAGCTTGATAGCATATAACAGCATCAGATTTCTGTGTTCCTAACTCTTGTCTGTATTGATAATACCCATAAGGCACCCAGGCAGCACTTTGCTTGGGAATACTCTCTCTATAATACATGCTGAATCATCTCTTCTGATCTCTCACTTGCTCGTTCTCTCCTTTAATTGGACGGAGTGGCAGCTGCGCAGTCTCCTTAAATCCAAGTTCTTGCAAATAGATAAGGCAGAATTTAATAATCAACTCTCTCTCTCTCATTTTGAATCTCCTGTTTGCAGGTTAGCTGAGTATAAAAGAAACGTCAGTTTCTGGTCAGTGTTGCTTCTGCACTGCATCTTTTGCCTGTCGTGTTGTCCGGCTGATGGCTAGTGTTGTAAACCCTGGGCTAGAATAGAGTTTGTGCCTTTTTTTCCCAAAGGAACAATTGCAGTTTATAAATTGTCCCCAAAGACCAGGTCTAAAATTTTGTATAGAGGGTGAGGGTGAAGCAAGGGGGAGCAGGGCCCACTTCTGGGGTAAAGGACCATGAGCCTTTGGGTGCAGTGTGGTATGGCAACTTACACCTGCAGACCTAATCACATGCACTGTTGCAAATCATGTGAGCTCAAGGAAAATATTAATTAATGTAAATTATCTATCTTCTTTTCTATCTGCAGTTCAATTCTTGCTGCCAGGATGGGGAAACAGAATAGCAAGCTGCGCCCAGAGGTTATGCAAGACTTGCTGGAAAGCACAGACTTTACAGAGCATGAGATCCAGGAATGGTATAAAGGCTTCTTGAGAGACTGCCCCAGTGGACATTTGTCAATGGAAGAGTTTAAGAAAATTTACGGGAACTTTTTCCCTTACGGGGATGCTTCCAAATTTGCCGAGCACGTCTTCCGCACCTTCGATGCCAATGGAGATGGGACAATAGACTTTAGAGAATTCATCATCGCCCTGAGTGTCACTTCGAGGGGGAAGCTGGAGCAGAAGCTGAAGTGGGCCTTCAGCATGTATGACCTGGACGGCAATGGCTACATCAGCAAGGCAGAGATGCTAGAAATTGTGCAGGTATGTAGCGCTCACCTTTAAGCAGAGGAGAGCATGAGTCCCGATCCGAGTGGGGAAGTGTCCCTGTCCCGTACAGCACGTTGCACAGGTTGCGAACTGGTGGCCCAGAGGGCATCCATCGTTCCTCCCCCAGGTCCTTGAATATGAAGAGCCCGCAGTATAAAACAGGGTGAAGACTGGTTGGCTTCTCCAAACACTGTAGAATCAAGGTCTCCATTACTTTAATAGGATGCACCCCACTTTTTCCCTAAGTCATTCATCCAGGATCAGTTTCCCAAAAGGCACAGAAGGGGCCCTAAGGTAGGACACATTGTCCTTGCGAGACCCTAGCAAGCTTTGGGGCACCAGGGAAGGGGCACAGATCGAGCACCACCGCAATGCCAGCTTGTTGACAGTGAGTGGGCCCCAGAGGAGACGAGACAAGGCTTGGGAGTGGAGTGTGTCAGCTGCAAGCCCCATGAGGGACTATCTGGGCAGGCAGCCCCAGGAGGGGTTCACTCGCTGTCCTTGCAGGGGAGTCGGGCACAAGGGGAAGCACCTGGAAGCAGTCAGCAGGCACGAGACAGTAGACATCTGGGTTCAGTGCTGTTGTCCCTGGGGGACCTTTGTGTGGGATCATGTGTCACCACAGGATGAAAGGTGTCATGATGGGGGACGGGGAGGGTAGCGGCACTTGTTTCCAAGGAACCTCAGGAATCCTGCTTCCAGGCATCAAACCTGCAAGTGTCCCCAAGACAGACCTGTCATCGAGCCTTCGAGCTGAGGTCTGAACTCTGCACGTGGACTGGCTCTGGGCCCACATGGGCAGTGAGAGTGGCAGCTGCACGTGGCAGGGCTGCAGCAGCAGGCATCCAAATGGCTGCAGGAAACACCAACACCTGCCAGCTACTTTTCTCAGATGAAATTACCAGTGGCTTTTCCTTCACCCAGAACTGTAACCGTCTGAGTCAGTTGCATTAAATTTGTCCGTCACCGACATAGATTGTAAACAAAACCAGAGGCTTTCTCATCTACCCTGGAGATACGTCCATGAAAACTATAATGTCTATTGTAAAAATGTGGGCAGCATAGGAAAATATAGAAGAGAGAGAGAAAATTCTCTATAATCATACCCTACCTCCAAAGAGAATCGTTATAGTAATTTTCCAGTATATGCTCTTGATGCTACTTTCATGCTATTAAAAATCGTTGATTGATTTCATAATATCTATGAAGATTTTGTGTCTTGACATTTTCACTTCACATAGTAACACAAGAATTTCATATGTTATAAAAACTTTGATTAAAGATATGTAAATGGCTGCACCATAGTCATACACTGTATTTAATGTACACTTGGATATTTAGGTTAGTTACAGTAAAATAACAAATAATTCTTAGGCATGAGGGTTTTTTTTATATGTAGCAATATTCTCTTATAGTGGATTCCTAGAAGTGCAGTCACTGGGCCAAAGGAAATGAGCATTTCTTTATGTTTATGTACACACTGACACATACACACACATCATTCTTCATTTTGTACATTTTTCCATCTCAGTTGTGAACCCCTACTCTCACCGTCACTTCACCTGTGCGCCATCACCGTAGTCCTGTGTGCTCTTCCCACCCCAGTTGGATCCTACTCCTCTCTCTCTTCTGTAGAACGTCTCTGGTTTATAGTTGTTTATTGATTTTAGTTTTTGAGCATTTCTAATGCTCTTGAGGCTCTCTGCCAAATTATTTCCCAGTTGTACCCCCAAGTGAGTAAAGGATGTCCCATCTCATTACACTGCCCAATTTTTCTTAATCTGTGGTAATTGAGCAAAAATTTAAATTTAAGATGGCGTCATTTTCATTAGCTTCATTTTGCCTCTCGAAAAGAAAGTGCAAGTGCTGTGCTCCAGTCCTCAATGCCTCCCTGCAGTGAAAAGGATGCGAACACTTTCCTTTGGGGGGGGTATTGCTTCCTGCCTGAGATCTAAGGGGAGACAGTTCTCCATCAGCTGCCATGCGATTCCCTGTGAGTAGGGTCCGTGGTTAGGTGGAGCTATTGATGGAGCTGTAGACCTCCAGCGGGAAAACCCCAGATCACACGGGCTTATGGAGAGCAGGAACCTCTTGCAGATTCATTTCACACCTGTAGTTAAGCATCTCCTAAGGAATAAATAGTCGAGGGAGGAAAAGAGACTCCCCCGTGCTGTCGAACCCAGTTTGCAAAAGTGAGTGCGAAAATTGCAAGGTGCAGTAGGTGCTGCTTGGAAGCCCGAGCCGGAGCTTTGCTGACTTAACTCATGTTCAGTACCAAACAGATCATAAAAGTGAAGATTCCTGCAGCTTAACAAGGTGTTTTCTTCTTTGTAAAGTAGCTAAATCCAGTCACAGGCCTCAGAAACTTTATGGTCATACTCGGACGACACAGATTCCCTAATGAATGCCTCAATGTGCAAGGTTTCCAAGAAGCCCTGCAAATGGAAGGTTCAGATCCCCTAAATAATACTTTACAGTGCCAAGTCCTAGTGGTTAATATTCATGACCCAGACGGGAAATATAGCACCAGCCTGAGGCAATTTCCAAATCACCAATGAGAGTACATTAAATTTAGAACCATTTTCATAGTAAGGACTATGTCATTCTACTCTGCAAACTGAAGTTTGCTGTATGCTTTCCCATTCTTTGCTAAGCTCCTGTGTGTGTGTGTGTGTGTTTAAGATTTATTTATTTATTTGTACATACAGAACTGGGGTACAGGCCAGAGGTGCAGGGGCGGTAAGAGGCTTCACCAGAGACAGAGTGGGGAGCACAACAGGCAGATCAAGGAAGTACACTGCTGAGGGGAGCAGCAGGCAGGTCAGGAGAGGTCTGCCACGCCATGTGGGTCACCTTTGGGGCAGGCGCGGATCGAACTCATGTCGAAGTGGCTTTCAATTCTTAGTGCTGTGCTTTAACCCGCTGCGCCACCAGGGAGGGCCCGCTAAGCCCCTGTTTTTAAAAATTGGGTTATTAAATAATGAATTGGAATTTGCCATAGGAACGTACTGAACTTCTGTTCTATTTTCCCTGTCTCTTCCTCCTTTGAAAGGTCACACTCCAGGTGTGTCCCACGTGTCCCCAGAAGCTGTGAGCTCCATGCGGGCCTCTGTTCTTTGTTCTGTGCTGCTCAGTGGAACATTCACAGCAGATACTGCGTCCGCCTCAGAGGCGTCACTGCCCCTTCAGAGGTGTCTCTGCCTCTTAGCGTTCTGCTTGGTGCCTTCTAGAAGGTGAGGACGTGAAGGCAAGCTGACATCAGAATAATACACAAATTAAGATTCTATTTGTTAAGTGAGTACAGCCTACAACTTGATTCCAAGCGTCAATACATTAATTCTTGGCAGAACTTGTTTCCCTCCAAGGTTAGAAGTTCAAGCAATTTAATGAAAACTGCAAATTCACGGTGTCACCTACAAACATTTGTAAGTAGTCAGGGTGAAAATTGGGGCCAAGCAAGTTTGTAATTAATTCTTGACCATGAATAGAATTCCATAAGCTTTTTAGTTTTTGTTCCCTGATGCTGCTTCTTGTGGTTTAATTTTGGTATCCACTGAGTATTGTCTTTGGTGACAGGTGAGTTCAGTTTGTATTTCTTAACAACAGTAGAAAGGACTCTTGTTGTGGGTTTTGTGTGAGACTGAAATATGCCTTTGGGCTCCTGCTGCTTTAACAAATTGCCATAAACCTCATTACTTAAAATTCTGGAGGTCAAAGGTCTGCAATCAGTTTTGCTGGACTAAAATCTAAGTGTGTACAAGTATTTATCCCTTGGAGATTTTAGAGAAAAATCTGTTCCTTGCTTTCCCTAGCTACTGGAACATGCCTTAGCTTGTGGCCCTTTTTATCCATCTTTGAAGCCAGCAACAGTGAATCAAGTCCTTTTTGAGCTTTGAGTATCTTTGGGAATCTCACTCTGCCTCTCTCTTCCTTATATAAAGACCCTGTGACTACAATAAAATAATCTAGGTCAAGCCCTCCCTGTCCACAGCAAAAACCTCATTCACATCTGTAAGGTCCCATTCCTGGGTAAGGTGACATATTCAGTTTCCAGAGATTCAGATATGCACATCTTGGGGGAGCCATTGTTCAATCTACCATACATGCCAAAGCAGTCAGGTTCCTTTCTTAATAAAATAATGTTGTGCTATATCAACATCTGGGTGAACAAAGAACACCATATGCAGATTTATTTTTAGAGACTTGTCTATTTTCACATTCATGTATTTGTTTTTGCTTAAGTGACAAATTTAGGAACATGATTTAAGCCTAATCTTTTATCATCACATTAAAATCATCCCTCACAAATCTAAAGCCAGATCTTAACTCTGACTTTCTCGGCACTGATCTCTCCTTGGGAGAGGGCAGAAGGAAGGAGAATCCTTCCAACCCTTCACAGTCCCTTGTCTCTCGGCCTAGCTGGAAGCAGGTTTGAGAATGCACACTCTCTCCCTCTCTCTCTCTCTCACACACACACACACACACTCACACCACTGGTCATCATAGCTCAGGTTTGTCTAAGGAAGGATTTGAGGGAGTGAGTGAGTGGCATTGTCTGTTGGGTCATGAATACCTGGATGTTCTCTGGGATCTTGGGGTGAGGGAACACTGAAGTCAAAGATCCATCCATAGGACTGCACCATTTCCAGGGAAAGAATATAGAAAGAGGGCCCTCGCTGCGCAACCGGGTAAAGCACAGCACTATGAAGGTAGCCACAGCCACTGCCACAGGAGTTCGATCCCCAGCCAGGGAGGTGACCCACAGGGCACAGCAGACCTCTCCTGTCTCACCTGCTGCTCCCTTCAGCAGTGTGGTTTGGTCGATCTGCCTGTTCTGCTCCCCACTCTTCTCTGGTGAAGCCTCTCATCCCCCACATCTTTGGCCTGTACCCAGTTCTTGTATGCATAAATAAATAATGTAGAAAGAAAGCAGAGTTAAAAGCGGCCTCTCTTCTCAAAAAGAAACTAGGACCTTTAAAAGAACAAGTCTTGAA